ACCATACTTAAACACAAACACACAATTATGTTCATACATTCCTGTTGACAGACCAGCACATTTCTCACAACTGACAAAACAGTCCCAAAAGTGCATGTGTTTTCCTGCCGAAAAGATAAAATACATTTAATCAGTCACTGACTTGGAATGCGTTTGCTTCTCATGCTTTGCTCTGGCATCTCTTTATCATCCTGCTTTTGGCTTACTCTGTTTCTAGGAAAAAAAACTAAAAATCCTCCTCTTGAAATAGTCAAAGAAGTTATTTTTCCTGTCCCTTACGTAATTTTGGATTTGTTATCACAAGGCAGTTTTGGAACAATGACTGCACTCACTCACACATGTCATCAACATAACGTTATCTGTAAATTATGAAAGTGCTGTTTTTATCATTTCAAAATACCTGATATAGAAATGACTAAAAGTATTAGATTGACAGCAAGAAGATTTGTGCACGGTCTTTATTGTGATGTATAATGTAAACTTATGTGCGCATTCATATAGGGATGGAGGTCAAGGAGTGAGATGGTAGAACACAATGTCCTGTGAGAGACAAGACTGCTACATCTTCCCTTGCCTGTGCACGTCTTTGAGTCTGTGTGGTTGTTTATGTTTTATATGCTCTGCAAGCCACATTATAGGGTACGTTTGACTTCCTGCCACGCACATATGCATACACATGGAAGTCCCTGGATGATACAGAAATGTGGCTTCAGGCAACAGTCACATGGTCTGTTTCCTGCTGCTTGTGGCTCAGCTGCAGCTCTGGTCAGTGTTGGAGATCCTCAACATAAAGTTTAACTCTGCGCTCACGTAGTTTTCATACAGAATTAATCACTAACCTCTCATATCCTTTGTGTTTCACAGAAAGAACAAACTCCCTAAAATGAACCCAAGATAAGGAGGATTCCCTTGAGGAATATCTACAAGGTATGCCATTTTCCATTTCACAGAAAATCACCTCATTTTTCATTGCCGGAGCTCTATGTAACACTTTAAAACACACAGCTAAAGCCTTAAAATACAGGGAAGAATGCATTTAACTTCTTATCAGATACCCTGCATAGTTTCTGTTGCTTGTGTTGAGTCAAGACCAGAGAGAGTAAAAATATTCATGCACATAATGATTAGGGATTATTGTCTGTCTTAGAACTGTACAGATAACCATTATAAACCTCTCTGCTTTTACATTAAACAGATGAGACTTCCACTCATTATTAAAATCATACATAACTACTTTTCTGTGCCTGATATCTCCTTAAAGAAGATGTGCTTTTTTATTTGATTTGAGCAAAAAACAACTTCATACACATATAAATCAGTTTGCTGGGTTATTACTTTTTATTTTACTGTTTGTGTAATCATACAATCATACTGTTTGTTGATTTTCACTGATGGCTTACTATGGCATGCAACTCTGGACCAATAATTGAAATACAGTCATTTAATTTCCTCTGCAAAATAAGTAAACGCCTAAGAAGTGGAATACATTAACTTTATTACACTTTTGGACACTTCATGTCAACAGAAAAGCAGTGAGGTACAGATGTAAGCAATGCATGATCATCTCATTAAAAAAAACACACTCCTCTCTGTGTGTTCACCAGTATTTTTATGATCTGTGAAAATGTGAACCGAACTTTTAAATTACAGCTTTGTTTTGCAACCCCGTTTCAGTAAGCAGCTTTTTCACATTTTAATTGCTGCTCCCAACTGATGAAATAAGAGCAAGTAATGGGTAGAGATTGATGGTGGGGATGATTTCTTCATGTGTATTCATGGAATGTTGTCAGTCTTTGTATGTACATTAGACTCACAGTAACACTACAGAAACATACAAGGAGGGAATAAAATGACCATGAAATGGAAAGACTTCATGATTTTAAAGAATTTTTCTTTTTTTCTTTATTTCTTCTTTCGCCAATGGAAACAGATCCTAGCTATGCAAAGGTTTCATTTTGTGATAGACACATTGGAGTTATCATAGGACACCACAAGTATGGTTCTTAAATGAAGTATAGACTCTCAAATACTGGCACATGGCTAAAATTAAGTCTTAGAAATATTCTTTTGTCCAATATTAAAATGCATGTAATGGAAAGTCAAAGTTTGCAGCAATTTTAATGTTTAAAAGCATCAGTGTTAATATTCATTTAAATGTTTAACTACTGTGACATTACACTAGATAAGATTTAGACAATCCATTTCAAAGCCCCAAATCAGTAGCTCCTGTTATGATTATCAGTGAATGCATACATGTGTGAAATAATACAGACGTGTGTTCAAATGTGACACATAAACCAGTCTCATCACTTATGAACATCTTCACATTCAAAATTCAAGCTCCATGTCCAGACAATACCCATAAGGTTTATTATAATAGTCACAGTATCAGTACACGTTAATGACATTTAAAACTGTTTAGAATCCACAAGTGCGACAAAGAGGCCAAACTCCAACCATCACACAAATTGAGATGACAGAGCATCACAGCTTAAATAGTGTGTTGATAAGTTCAGGCTGATAACAGTTTTAAATCCTGCAACAACAATTACTTTCAGTCCATTCTGTGCTGTTGTATTTGTGTATTCTTACACTGCAATCCAGGAAATCTTTGTCATTTTGACGACTTTAAAAAACAAAAGAAGCCCGACTTCTCAGGCATGCAGGGAGGCTAAAAATAATACAGAGCCTGGAAGCACATGAAATACTGTGATTTAATTTGGGTTTACTTGAAAGAGTACATGTGCAATGATAATACATCTTATTAATGCTAAAGTTTTAGTAAGTATAAGCAGTTTTCAGTTCACATTGTCCTCTCCTTTTTTCCAAGTAGTTAAACTTGATTTTTTTGTATTCCAGTGTTTCCATTTCTATTCCTTTCCCAACACCCTTTTCAAATTTTGAAAATCTGCTGTTGCAGTGTGTAACAGCTACACTCTAAACCGAGCAGACTGAATAGCATCAGTTAAACTCTGCTAAAAACATTTCTGATGCAACTAAAAAAACTCTTTGCAGAAAATATCCAACATTTGTTATTTTCTCACACAAAGTTTCAGCCATTGCAATGGCAGTAACTGAGTGTCTGTTAAGTTTTTATGTCAATGTAAGTTTTAAAAGACATGAGACGACAGATATGCAGATGACAAGAGCAGTGGGAGTGGAATGCGGAAGTAACCCATTTTACTTTGATCTTGTTTCATTTGTACATAACTGCTTTAATAGGGGCAGGGCTACTTACAGGGTTTAGGGGTAGGTGATTTACATTTATTCAGATATTTTCCTTTTGGAGGGAGGCACCAGATGTGCAGGCAGCTCAGACGGCAATTCGTGTCCCTCCAGTTTTACCTTTATCAGGTGATTAGCAAGGGCGAACTCCTCATCATCCAGCATGCCATCCTTATCAATATCTGCCAGCTTCCAGATCTTTCCCAGCACTGTGTTGGGCAGTTTTGATTTCACCATCTCCTTTTTAGCATTGGCTCCTGTGACCTTTCCATTGACAGGAGAGAGCGTGTAGAAAATCTCATCGTAGGCGGGTTTGTCGCGTGCAACAACCCACTCAGCTTCGTCGATGCCTTCACCGGCTCCTTCACCGTACCCGTGTCCAAACGGGCCGTTCAAAGTGCCATCGAACGCACCACCCTTCACCACTGGGTTTGGCCGCTGGTTTTCCTCTTGGCGAACCAGGACCATTAAGCCAGCGATGTCATTGGCTAGCATGTCATCAACTGCCTCCAAGAGTTTGGGTTTCAGAGGCTGGAACCTGTTGAGATCCTGAGCTTGGAGCTGGTCCTGGTTGGAAAATCAAAGAAAAAAAAGTTTTATCTTAAGATCAAATATCAATCTGTGAATCAAAACGAGTTAGCTTTTTTATTTACCTGCATCTTTTTCAGATTAGGAAAATCCCCAGGTGAAATCTGATGCTCTCTTTCAATGCGCTTGTAAATATCTCCCAGACTGGCAATCAGCTCTTTCTTCTTGTTTTCTTTCCCGAACACAGAGGGCATCTCTTTCTTCAGTGAACTGATGATGTAGGCATGGACCTGTAAAAGGTTGTAAAGGGACATGGATGTAATCATTAAGTGAATCTCTTTAAGTTTCATGCATTTAGAAATGAATAACTTAATGCTGCAACTGTGGTGCCCCGAATCATATAAATGTGCTCAAGTCTGAAATTAGGAGCAACAAAAATGTAGCAAAACCCATTTCTGTTGTTCCCTGAAGAGTCTTCTGTTTTTAATCCAAGCTGAGTTTTTAATATAAAAACATATAAAATAATGTATTATTTACCACAAATAACCTTATCAAATAACAACTAGCAGGGTACTATATATACATAGATGAATTGTGGTATGCAAAACACAGAGCTTTTTGTTTTTTTTAAGAGCATCAGCCTGAAACTGCTGTGGAGATGATGAGAGCTTGCTGTTTACGACTTTGGTTTGAGGCCCATCACCAGGATGGGCCTGAAACCAAAGTCCTAGTTAATCCTAGAGAGAGCTCCGAGAATAAAGCAGGAAAAGCAGATGCAGACTTAGCTTTGCAAGTCAGAATCATAATATCAATCCAATTTTGTGTTTATGCTCTCCCTTAGCGGCTTGGATCAGTCAGTTAAGTCATTCACATGTAGTTTTATTATCATAAAAAAACAGGATCATGAAAAACATTTGCCAATTTTAAATAGAAAACGTATAACTTTGTAATTTTTCAAAAGGTTTTCTGCTAACTTTGCATCATAATATCCAAAAAGTGTTTCCAAAAAATAAATGCATCATAAGGCTTTTTCACAAGACGTGGACTGATGGGCCTCTGTAATACAGTGTGAAAGTACTGAGGCAGCACAGGAGGGCTGAAGTTAATCTGCTGCCAATTCACCTCTGAGCCATCAAAGCACAAGAGAGTGTTGCATATCTGTGTATTCATAAAAGATCAGATTATTTAGCTTTACTTTCTAAATTTTCATGTAGGATGTTGTAAAATCACATTTAATTCAACCTCTGACCTTTTGGCTACATACTGAGTTAGAGTAAAGTTCATAATCTTTTTGCCTCTGCCTGCAGTGTTCAGTGAGAGCCAGGGATTACTCACACACTTTTTTCAAGTGATTACAAACTATGTTTTACCAGGAAAAGCCACGATAATAAGAAGAACATTAGTTCAAGGGAAAATATATGACGAAACAACACTTTCACATAACAGTAAGTTGTTTTGATTATCAAGTCTTTTGAACTGGTCACTAATAGATCAAATGTAACTTCATATGCATAATGCTGTGCAATGGTGAAGTCTAAGGGCACTTAACAATCCTTCAGCTGGATTTGTCATCCACTGAATGTTTGATGTTTTTATTATAACAGAGAAATGATTGTGCAAATGTTTATCTTTGAACATTTTTGTCCACTACTAATACAGTTAGAAGCATCTGTCAAATACTAGGCAGGACAAAAATCCTGGCTAAACCCAGATTTGTTTTGTTGCTATGTTGACACGTGTGTTTCCACCTTGTGTCCTTGAATCACTCACACACCCTATCAGCTGTCAAACAGGAAAACTTTTATCAACCCCGACGTTGATATATCTGTGTGCACTTGAGGGTGTGCACATGTACATCCTCAATGTTCCCTTAAACTACGACAGGCAGCGGACTGTCGCCTCTCCTACCTGACTTCCTGTTCACAGAGGAAGTGAGGTACAAATCACTCAAAGCAGAATTACTAGTCCGGCACTATTGGTTCTCTGGCTTTGATAAAAGTTTTGCAGTCAAGGTTAACGGCTGTGCTGAAGGGAGGGAATAAACAGGAAACACATGCTGCAAATATTTCAGCAGGGATCTAGTTTTTTTTAAAGCTGAAAAGACCCTCTATCTAAACCTTCCTGAGACAGGATCACCTGTCCCCTCCAACTGTGACTCACCTTGGCAAGTCTTGCCCTCTTAATCAGATCGTTGAGCTTTCTAAGTGCTGCATTTCTTGGGAGGGACTGAATGTCCTTAAATAAATCCTGCTCCTCTGCTTCAAACAGCTTCCTGTTGTCTGGAATCAACAGCGGGTGAGACCAAAATGAACCGATGTAGACGCGGATCACCTGTCAGCGAGAGGAAAGGACTTGTGGTGAGAAACAAGCTTTTCTTGCAGGAAGAAAACGGTTTTGACACGTAGTTCTTTAAAATGAATGTTTGGTTTTCAAACTGAAACATAATTAAAATAAAATAGTCCATTTGGACAGATATATTTAAAAAAATACTAGGAGTATTTGTAATATTTCCACATCTTTAAATAAAATAAACTTTATTCCAAGGATTCCAATTGATATTTTCTCAATATTCTTGTTTAAACTAAGCACAACTTCTAGAATGTTTCTTATCAGCATACCACATCATGCTTTAGTAAGAATTTGCAGCCTGCTGTACCTCAGGGGTGTTGACGATTTTCCCCAGTGACCACATCAGGGCACCATAAACTCTCATCAGTTGCTGGGTTTCAATCTGGTCAGCTTTGTTCAGCACCACCCTGGAGAAAAGAAAGGAGCAAAGGAGAAAAAATGATAACCTGTTGGTTTTAAGATTGTGTGAATTCAGGCTAAGTTTAAAAATGAAAAGTATTCATTGTAAACCAATGAAAGCAGCAGTACCTGATCTTGTCCTCATGGTTCTTCAGAGCCTTTATAACCTCAGAGAACTCATCAGAGATATCCAGTTTGTGGGCATCAAAAAGCAAAATGATCCTGTCAACTCGCTCTGCAAACCATTCTAAAACAGCTGCAAAATCGTAGCCTAAGAAGGAGAGAAGGAAAGGTTAGGAATTCTAGTAGTGTACTGTATCCATCATCAGACTCATGGTCATCACAATATTTAATAAGGAGGTGGGGGGGGGGGTGCAGGTTACAGAGGAGACTTTAGAAAATAAGGCCACATTGGAACATGTTGAGTGAAAAGAATGAGTTACTCACAAAGCCAAGGTTAAACAAAGTAACATTTTAGACTGAATAAAGAGAGAGAAACCCCAGTTTTCTACATTTACTGTTTTACAAATGAGCAGTCCTGACTGTTAGTGCAGAGAAAGAAGGAAATATAGCATCTTAAAAAAGGTAACACGTCCATGAATTGCTCCATCATAAATTAATCAACTATCAAGTTTGTCATTGGGACCCACTGACTCATTTGGCTTTCTATCCCACTCAAGGACAACACTCATGCTTACCTGGTGAAATTCCACAGGATATGACAGGAGAACAAAGAACAAAGGGTAGCGCAAAGGACTATAGAGCTGATGTTTCCAACAGACATTGAAGGACATACCGTAGACATGGGGTCAATGAGTCACACCATTAAATATCAAGTCGGTAACAACCAGGAGGCTTTGTGTCAGTTGGTAGTGAGCCTTTGCTTCATGCTAAAAGTGATTCAAGTGGATTTTTTCAAAGCTATGTTTAGGCATGTGTTTTCTTCAGTAAGCATATCAAAACCTAATGCTATGCTTTTTTTATTTGCATACTGCACTGCGTCTTGCATCAGGAGAGGAAAACTTTTAACATTTTCTGTGACTATAAATGTTTAACTAACTTGTGTTGAAGGAAAATGCAGCATCAAGGTCATCAATGAGAATTATTAACAACAAATTAATGCTCATGAGTTTTGAAAAGAGTATCTCACTGAGATGCAAGTGGAATGCAGCAATACGTATGCAAAACATGGAAACCTGCAGGTGAAAGGAGAAACAGTGCTGCTGGAGAAAACTAGAGTGTTAAGAAAGATAAGGAGCAGATAGCTTGTTGTTTTGAATGCTAGGGAATTGTTCTTCATCCTGCAAACTTCTCACATGTGGTGGGCAAGAACAGTGATACAATAGTCTGTATAACACCCAGAATCCCTCCCCATCATGTTGCCTCAAGATAAGACTATATTTAAAGCCCAAGAGTAAAGACTGTCAAAGAACATGTACATTTTCTTTGACAGAAACTCTTAAAGATATCTTTTTTCTAATCATTACGAGTCACTGCTGAAGGTGATAAAAGCAAACAAGAAAAAGAAAGAAATGAAAAAAAAACTTTAAAGATTTAATTCTATATTTTCAAAACAAATCCCAAGCTGTCTATGCCAGAATCCTCAGTGTCAACTAGATCTGTGTAGGCAAACTAGATGCAAACTAGGTTAATGTCCATCAAATTCATGTGACAAGACTGGTGAAGAACATGATAGGACCCAGAAATGCTTCAAAATCAAGTTATCCATGTTTAAGCCTTTTTTGCAGCTGCTTGGCAACCAGGTCTAAAATCTACGATACCTCCATAAGGACATCTACGCAGGCAGCTATAGCCTGACAACTTCTCATCTGGACACACACAAACAAATGAATACATTTAGAAACCAGTGCAACAGGATGACAGTTATAACAGAAAAAGGAATGTGGCCCAATGTACAGATGTGCACACAAAGGAGATGTGGAAACAGTGGGAATGCAGTCAAACACATACTTCCCAGTCCTTAAAAAGAACACAGCTGTTCTTAACCACTGGAAGTTAAGTCTAGCTAGCATTGCATGTGTCTTTGTCCGTTTGTACTTATTTGTAGTCCAAAGGGAAAAAAGCTGATGTGGGTCTGTTTCTACTCAACCAGTGCCACACATTATCAGTATCTATAAACAATAGCTTCTTCACAAACCACTCGCTGTTGTTTCTCAACCAGACAGCTGGACACAATAACAGTAATGACAAATCATTTTCAACATTCAAGCTCTGTGGACAGTCCAGATCTATGCAGAACCACCCTTCCAGTGAAGTAATGTGCTGAACTCACCGACCAAGATTTTGCTCATTGAGGGTAGTTCATGGATTTGATAGTGGAATTATGAGGGCACAGATACTGCCTAATGAACGGTATACAGCACAAACATGCTATGGCAGCCATACTCATCATAGCAGTGACACCTTAGCAAATTGAATGCTGGAAAATCCTATAATTATAATAAGACTGAAAACATATAAGTTCAAGTTTACTAAGTACTTTAAATGAAACCATCGAGTGATTGATGACAGCTGATGACCCCAACTATCAATTAGGTTTTGCTTTCAAAGAGAGAACAAGTCAACTCTAAGAGAGTCAAGCAAAGAATACAAGTTGTCCACCTTTTAAAGAAATTTAAAAAAGGCTGAAAGCATGAAAGTAAAATATGTGCTTCTTTAAGTGTCCCAGTTCCTTTGTGGATGTTGGCAGTTGGTATGGCAATGCCATCGTATAGCTTTGGGAATGCCAGCCATGCCAAACACACACAGCTTGGGAGAATCTTTCTCTGAGACACTCTGATGTCTTTTCACTTGAGTTTTCACCACCACTGGCATCTGTGCTGTGGTATTTTTTTAAATGAAATATCCAGTAAAAATGCGGAATCATGTTCTTTTTCCCCAACGTTAAACTTTTGTTGTTTTTCTTCTTAACATGAATTATCCTAATGTAAGAGATGACCTGTGATGATTAGGCCCATCAAAACATATCAGTGTGTGTTCTTCTGTATAAGCCGAGGTGATACAATAGATTTAATCCTCCATTTCATGAGGGATGCAGTGATGCATTTTAAGAGGCTGACTCTTCTAACTTCTCTTCTCACTTGCTCTTTGCTGCATGGGTTCTGTTACTCTTGCAAGAATACTTGGGGGCCCTTCCTACTGGCTTCTCAGCCATTATTTTAATCAGCGTTACCATTTGTACATGCTCCGAGTTGCACTAGTACACTCGTATCTTCACTTCCTACTCCATGCTTCACTGTCAGGATCGTCACCATGTAGTTGGTCAGTTGCATTTGCTATTTAACCCAAATTATTTTACCACTGACTTCTGAAATTCCTCTGACAATTATTTTTACATTTGGAGCTGTGTGGCAGACAAATCCTGAAGTTAAAGAGGTTTTTTTTGTGGACTTTTTTTGTGTGCAGGTTTGTTCTAATTACCTTTGTTTTGTTCAGCAACTGACAAACAGAGCTGTAAAAAAACCTTATAAAGAAATGAATGGCTTGTTTTATGTCAGCTGAGGCTATAAAGGCCTTTGTGGTCTCACCACTGCCAGGGTCCCTGTCATGTAAAGGATTTGGGACGACTAAATTGGTCCTTTCAACGCCTTTTTCTTTTAGGGTTCAGGAATGACAAAGAAAACGGCAACTCCCAAAAGTACTGTAATCTCTAAATCTGAACCACACGTGACTTCTGCTGTTTTTCTTGGTAAATTGGACATTTTTGCTTTTATTGGATAGTAAACATCGAAGACAGGAAACGTGAGGGGACAGAAGGGGTGGGGTACGACACATAACAGGGGTCAGAGTTGCTATGTTTTGTGGTCATTTTGTAAATAGCTCATGAAGCAAAAGCAAACTGATGTCTAGTGTTTTCCACGTTTTAAATAGGACACTGGACTACAGAGTAAAATAAATAAAGTGAAATTCACACTGTGTGAATGTGAGGGTTAGAGAGCCATTCAAAGCTCATCTTTTTTTGTCACCGCTTCCTGCTCTTTGAAATGAATGAAGCATAGTCCTCCCGATAGCTGAAAGCTAAAATAAACACACACTCAAATGTCCAAAGGAAATGCTGACATTGTATTTCAGAGTTCAGTGGGGGTGGGTGGGGGGGGGCACTGCAGCTGAATGGCTCCACTGAACTAAAACGGAGACACAAACTCACGTTTGCTCGCGCACCAACGCAAACAGAGGAAAACCAAAAGCGTGCGAGTCACGAGCCCTTGTCTCACCTCGACTGATTCTCTGCTTCTCACCGGACAAAATCCCGGGCGTGTCAATCACGCTGATGCTCTCCAGCACGGGGTTGGGAAGCTGGGCACACACAAACCTACACACACATACACATACACACACACACACACACACACACACACACACACACACAGAGCAGAAGAAGACAAACACAGAACATATCAAGACAGAAGTGTAAAGTGTTTTAATAACAAACATTATCCTGCACCGGACCTCTGCCTCCCATCCCCTCTCCCCTCTTTCTCCTCTGTCTCTGTTGCTCTCCCTGGGTTTCTCCAGCTGAATAAATATGAACAGGTTAGCAGTCGTCCCCGCTGCCTGCGACCCCTCTAATCCCCACTGACAATCAGCATTTCTTCTTCTTCTCCTTTCAACACAGGAGGGCTCTCACAGTGAGGACTCTGCTGCAAGAGTGAGGGCTTTTTGGCTGTTTTGTTTTTCCACTAGGATGACAGTGCAAAGATGTCTGGCTGTCTAGCTTACTCTTTGCTACGCACACACACACACACACACACACACACACACACAGAATCACGGCCAACCATTAGCAGAGAAAAGCCTGACCAGTGAGCAGAGGGAAATTCAATCACACAGGAATGTGGTGCACTGGTGTGGATTCTCACTCGTACTCACTTTACCCTTTCTTCTCCTCTGTCCTCTTGAGTCTTTCTCACAGAGTGTACATACTTCACACTGGTTTAACATTTTGTCTGTGCTGACACACCTACAACAGATGCTCCAGCACTTTCTGCCGCCGGTGCCTTTCCACCAGCGCTTTGCCGCTGTGTTTGTGTACACACGGAAGATTCTACCTGTTGAGGAACGCGTTTCCAAAAGCGTTGAGCTTTCTGAAGGGCTTCTTGGGGTCAACCACCAAAGCGTTGCCAGGAATGACACCTTCCGTGTCACCATGCATCACGGCGATGAAAGAATCTGTAGTGGGCTCAGGGCCGATCCGCATTCCAGGAAAATCCTGCTCCAACAAGTAGCTGCGGATAAGATGGAGAGAAATACAAAGATGTGAGAAGAGATAGGAGGCAAGATTTCTTTGATGAGTTAAACACCGTGCATGACTAAATAAACAAGAACTGTGAGGGAATGAGGGAATAATCCACCTAGAAGATGCTATCCAAGAATAGAAAGCATTGTGTTCAGTAAGGAGGCATCAGAAAATTCTGAGAGGTTAAATTGTCTCTCCGTACCACTATGAATTTCTATCTGATATAATTCACTACGGCAGATGGAGTTTTCCTGTTTGGATTTTTTTTTTTTAAAGAGTGGCAGTGATGATTATATAAATGCTTATTCAAAAGAATTGCCTTGAATTAAATGTTCCTGGAACAAAAGTTAAGGCTGCCGTGCATCAGCTCCAAAACAAGCAGAATAAACCTTGCTGTTATCCACATGAGACTGCACAGAGGTTATAGTGGAGCATTTGTGTCGAGGTGAGAGGGAGATGGGGGACTTTGGTCAGTGAAATCGATTTTAAGGACCTGAAAACTTTTTTTCGCAGTCAGCTCCTGATGATCTGAAATTTTAAACTTATAGTCATCGAAACTTTATTTAGTCGAATACATATTCATTTAGACTGGATGGTTCCAATCTGATTTTTTTTTTGCTTCCATCCTCTTCGGAATGAAAAGTGATTCACCGTTGATGTACATTTGTGCTTCTTCTCAGTTCACTTTTTTTAGCCTGTAATTTTCCTCTTGCTTTCCACCACGATCCCTGGAGTCATGATGTACTCATCAAGCCATGTGTCATACCAGGCATGCAGCAGAGCATCCATTAGAGGCTCCAGCAATACAGTGCCGATGGAAAATGAATTGTTGGGCTAGTTTGTGCTTAGATTACTGAAATATAAACTTTAAAAAGGAACTAGCAAACAGAATTTCCAGTCTCTGCCCAACATTAAATCCCAAAATCTTCAAGCAGAAGTGCATTTCTTAAAGATATAGAAAAATCCTTCCATGATTTGAAACCGTTTTGCTCACTAGAGCAAATGTACAGAATGAGGACAAGGCCTCTTAGGAGGTAGAATGGGAGGACAGAATGCTGTGCAAAAAACTTATTGAAAATGTTAAAAAAATGAAACACCTTATTTTTATTTTTTTTAAAAGCTGACTTCCATCACACATATTTGCATGAAAATGGTTGAATCCTCTAACGTTCAGTGACATCACAGATTCAGTTACAGTTTAGGCTGTGAGCGTTTTTTAATGCCGGTTCCTCTATAGATGGTCTGTGCACACACACCTTGCAGGAGGGGCCAGTAGTGCCTGGCAGAGCCATCTCTATATGTCATACACACACTGTACATGTGTACAGTTCACATACAGGTCAGCTCACGTCACATCGTTCTGGATTCTGTGCGGTTTGCTGTCAGGAAGAATTCCACTGCCAGTTCACAGCTGGAGGTCCATAGATCCACAGCTAAAAGGTGAATCTCCTTAGATTTAAAACTTGAAAGCATTCACTCAGACTGTTATATTCCTGTTGCACAAGGAAAAGTGTTTGGTTACTCTGCGATAAAGCTTAGATTCTGCTAATGAGAGGCTTTTTGAGAGCCCGCAGAAACAAAAGATCACTTTAGGTCAGCCCTAAGCTTCTGATATATGAGGAACTGAAGGCAGGGAGGCTGTATTATCCTCACCATGCACAACTGAAGATACTGTGAATATAGAAAAATGGATGAGGTGAAATGTGAAAAAACTCCCAATAAAGATAGCCAGGAACTCCAGATAAAGTTACAAAGAGTTAAAGAGTGAGACCCCAAAGTTTGAAATGAAAGAGAGCAGGATCGCTGAGCAAGTGTTACTGAGCAGTTTGAACATTCAGCATCCTGATGTTAATACGCTGGTGCTGTGTGTGGTCACACTGGTCAGGCAGCTGACCGTGGGTGTAGCCACTAAGTTTGGGAGAGAGGGGGGGGGGGGCAGGAAGACAGAGTGTCATCGAGAACCAGACTTAAAAAAGGAAGATGAGAGAGCAGGGACGTCTGTGTTTCTTACAGCAGGAAGTCACTAACAGCATCCTCTCTCTGGCTTTCAAAGCCTTAACCCGCTAATTGCCTCACTGCGCTCTACGAGTGTGTGTTTGTGCAAGTGTGTGTGTCAGAGGGCTAAGAGGTTAGCAGCAGCCCTGCAGCTCAGAGAGGGGCTCAACACCCAGCTGCTAACATTTCTCACCATCACACACACTCCAATTCCAGGTCATATGCTTTAACTGGACAGCACACACCACAGCCGGGGTGTCGCCCGCTCAGTGACAGAGCCTCAGCTCGCACAGGAATGCTGCGTTTGCCAAGTTATAAGCGAATCTGTGAAAAGAACTTTCAATGAGCCGCACTGCTGTCGTTCGACCGTCCTCTACGTCAACCAGCACATAAGCCACCCTTCCTACAGACGCGTTTATTCAGCAAAAGCGCTCCAATTACAGATGCTGGAAAAGTGGCCTATTTTTAGAGAAATTTAATCAAATCTTTAAGTAAATAACAGTTCCAGAGTTTTCTCCGAGGATTTGTTCAATGAATGCAGAAGGAAAATCATAATCTCAAAGTTTGATACTTTATCTATATGTATATACACACATACACACACACATATAAAAACAGTAGATTTCTAGATGATTGAATCCTCAAGAGAATCCTCACCTTAGGGTGGAAGTCTGTGCTCTTATATTGAGTTTCTGTCTGTGTACAACTTCAGGCATATTTCTAACAAAGTTTGGTTTAGGTGATGCTTTCAAATCCCAAAAGTTTGCAGGTGGCTTTGTTTTCAGGTTGTGTTGTAAACTGGCATAAAATTGCCACTACAGACCAGTCTGATTGTGACCAGCCTCATTCTGGCTGTCAAACTGCTGGAAAAGTCTTTTTGGGTGTGTCAGCCTCTCTCTCCCTACCCCTGGGGGTGGGGGTGGGGGGTTCTGTTCCATGTACTGGTTTGTGATTTCCCAAATCTACTGTATATGCAGCTCCTTCCAATGAACATGTGACTGCAGCATAAAGGAGATAGCAGGTTAAGGTTTCTCACCGTATGAAGCTCGTCTTGCCTGTAGAATACTGTCCCACAAGTAGGACCATGGGCTTGTTGTCAAAGTCGGCATCCTCCAGGGCTGGAGAGTGGAACTCATGGAACTTGTAGCTCTCCTCCAGTGGCAGGAGTTTAGTTTTGTAGAGTTTCTTCAGCCCGTCGCTGACGGTCTGAAAGACTTCCGGCTCCTTCTTCCTCCGGTCATCGGTTCCCAGCCAGCTGAACATTGTGGCCTGCTGCTTCAGTCACTAACAGGTGTTTAGGGTCAAAAATACAGCTGACTGATGGCGATCAGCTGTCAGATTGCTCTGGTTTTACTGAGTTACGTTGAGATATGTCGCTCAAGCATGTGGTGTGATGTTCACATAGATGGATAAAATGTTCTTGCTTATTCTTTTTGAAAACGTTCTGGAAAAGTTATCTTTCAAATCTAATTAAAAAGTGAATGTTGCGGTTCATCCACAAACTCTTGAATGAATTCACTACTAATATGTATATCTTTATATATCAGCTTCTATCTCCACACACTAAATGTGTGGTGACTGCAGTTGTTTTATCTTGATGTTTAATATTACTATTTACACCAGCTGGAAGAAAATTTTAGTATTTACTCAAATGCACCTTAATTAAAAAATATTCTGAATGTTCTGTAAATTGATCAGAATTCAAACCTGATCACAGACACGCTCTCTCATCATTAAGTCCATTGGTCCTCACAGGTCCAGGCCACTTCTGCCACACAGCAGCAAGACACTGCATCCAATTAGTTTGCTTTTGTTTACCAATTCGTTTATAAGCAAAAAAAAACTCTGCCGAGAAAAAGCTCAAATCACTCTGCTCAGGCGCAAAGTGACGCGACCGCTATTCAATACCGTCCAAAAGCTAGCAGAGGACTCCCGGCATTGATGCACCGAGCTGCTGTCACAGTGCAAGCCCCGTTATTGTTCAGCCTCTCCCGCTCTCCTGCGTCTGAAGGACAAAGCAGACCTCTCCGGCGCTGGCGGTTGATTCTGAGGTGTGACAGCCAAAAATATGAGCACACTCTTCGGCCAGAGCTAAGGGGTTATTTTCTGTCACCGCACGGTGCTGAATGTGGCTGCAGCTGATGTCCTGCAGCTCAATTTAAATGCCGAGTTGGAGGAAACCTGACTCCGCCGGAAGTGCCCAACGGCTGGCAGCCCGACCCACCGCGGCTCGGCGTGATGATGCGGGAGAGGCCGCTGAAGCAGCGCCGGAGGACGCCATGTTGGATGAGGGGATAAAGAGGTACGGCTGCTCAATCATATCGCGCCACCTAAAGGCTAAGGAATATTAATTGGAATTTTTTGAAGCACTTTGATGTCCGTGTCTGTATATTGATACGCAGTTTAAAATTACTATTTAAAAATACCTTATTTTCGACAAGTAGCCAATATTAAAAAGTCCATCACCCCTATTGTCAAAGCAATGGGGTGATCCCAGACACGTATTGCAATCATTTTTGAATACCAATAGTAAAAAAATTAAATAAAAATTAAGTATCTATATAACTTTTTTCTCATTTTAAATAAGTGCTTACGTGTAATTTTCACTCAACCACATAAATTAAACTGTATGACTGGACTTCTTTAGGGTTGGAAGAACTTTTGAAAGAGAAGCTAAATTTGTATAATGTAGTTTTATGTAACCTTGGCAACGGTTAACTCTATAAACGGAATAGTCAGGTGGAAATTGGCCCAATCGGCTGTCTATTCTTTGTTTCTTGAAATTCCTGGTGAGTATTTTCAAAAGAACCAGCAGGGGTCGCTGTCTATTCACCGGTTCCGTAGCAAAAAGACCGGTGGAAGGAATAAGATTCAACTCATTACCTTCCAAAGATCTACCCCAACGTAAACACTGAATCCATTTTTGTTTAAAAGCTTAAGAAAATAAATCTGTTTGAGTCAGAAATATTTATGAATTGTCCTCTAAAAGGAAGGCCAAAAACACAGCACTAAATACATAAGGTGTGTACAAGAGGGAACAAAGGAAACATACTGCACCTGTTAAAAGTTTCTCTTCCTGTAAGTCATAGAAAATTGTGTTTCATTGGCAGTTGATGAGATTTACTTCCAGAAATGTCCAAGTTAAAAATCAAAGGACAGTAGCATCAGTGTTTATAACATATTTTACCCATCATAGTAATATAATAACATGAAGGCAAACAACCCAAGGTTTAAAAAACAAACATGAACCAAAAACAAAAGAAAATACAAAGTTTCCATTCACTGTAACGTAAATTAATACATTTTTCTCTGATCATTCTTTATCACAGCAAATAAAGGTACAAAAGTAAAACAGCATTAATAATCACACAATAGCATTATTGTTGGTTGTGTAGGAATGTAGAGGGATCAGTAACTAAAGAAGTTTAACAACTTTTTAATGAGACGACATAAAATACCTTCATAACCTTCATATATACATGTCTTAATAGGCCATTTTATTATAAAAATGGACAACAACAGGTAAATCACCATGGCAACACGTTGATGCTGTTAACACTGAGAACAAACTTCATTAGTTGCACTTCGCACAGATAATCAACATGCTTCAAGGGTGCACACTTCACTGATAGACCATCCATGTTAGAAACTGGAATAAAAGTGCTAAATATGACAAAGATAAGACTTTTTTCCTTGAAGAGTGAATATTTCAGTTAGATAAATAAACAGAATGTCAAAACAACAACGAAACAAATGGAATTACGGTAAAAACAAAATTGACATGGGTGAAGAAAAATAAATATACAATAAGCAGGTTAAGTGATGTACTGTCTCTTAGAATGACAACCACAAACCAAACTATCTACAATTTCTAATGCCACACAAACATCATAAAATAATGTAACACTTCCTTTTATAGGTTTTTGGTACTATTGAAAAACAACAATACACTGAAAGAAGTCATGATCCATCAATGAAAAAGACAAGAACATTGCAGCCCTTTTTATGAATGATCTCGGATCAGTTTGTCTGACGGTGTTAGGACTTAGGATTGTGATGTCCACTGAATGTGAATAAACACAAAACCAAATACAAGCACAAACAATGTTTGAAGTAATGTTTCAGGCTGAACACATCTCCCTCAAAATTGATCACAAAATGATTAAACAAGTATTTATACAGACTACCAAGGTTGTACTTTAATTATTCTTCATTATACTGGATTTTTTTTAAGTATTATTAAGGTAAAAATATAGATGTATATCATCTACTGATCCATGATTACCAAGTCCCATTTGGTCAAAATATCCTCAACCTCTGACCCTGCAGCCTGACTTCTCTCTTCCTCAGATGTCTGCCTGACAAAAACACTTTCCAGTGTCAAATTCCCTTTCATTGCATACGTCTCCCCATCCTTTCCTGGCATTCTATCCTCTTTCCCTCTCTCAGAAGGTATCATTCCATTCAACCCTTCCTTCATGTTAAGCCCCACCTTTGTCTCTGGTGGCCCTGTTTTCCTGGTCTGTGGATTCCAGTTATTACACATTGCTTCCTCCACCTCCTCTCCATCATCCGCTAAATAATCTTCCCCTGCATTCTGCATCACAGCTGCTCCCAGAACAGCGTTTACACGCGACAGACAATCACATTTGGCAGAATATGAAGTAAGTGTGGATTTCATGTTCCCAGAGGGGTAAGAAGAAAGAAGGGAAACAAGCTCGCAATCCTTCCCTTCCTCCTCCTCTACTACTATCTTTTCATCCACTTTTGCCTTCTCTTCTACGTTCTGCTCTCTCTGAAGGTTTTGGAGGACACTGATGAGGCCGGTTTTGGGGTCATTGCAGAGGAACAAACCTGGAACCCCTCCATTCTTTCTTTCTATATTAAGCTCCCTTGTAACTGGTCTCTGAGAACTTGGTAATTTTGACTGTGTCTGAGCAGGAGAGGTGGGGTTTATCTGTGACCACGCATGCGCCCGCACGAGGGCGTTCCCCTCTGTCTGCCGAGTGTGTGTTTGCTTGCATGTGTGGGTTGGACCCTGTGAGGTGAAAGATTTTGCCTGCGGAGCATAAACACCTGCAGGGTGACCATCGCTGCTTTCTTCATTCTTGTTACTACCTGTCACATCATTCCCATCACCTCCTTCTTCACGATTCCTCCGTCCTCCCTCTTCTACACCTCTAGGATTCATTTCAGAAGCCATGCTATGAAATGCATAGATAGAAGATGTATCATCACACGGTTCCTCTGCCTCAGGGTGTTCATCAATCCTCTGTGGAGAGTATCTGGGTGGGGGATCGGGAATGTGCAGCTGGCCTTCCGGGACTGAGGAGTCTGGTTGTGGCTCAACTTTGGTCAGGTTGAATTTGTCAGGAGGGTGCATAAAAGGAGCCAGACGAAAGGAGGATGAGTCCTGGATAGACATGGGATGGAAAATGTGGATCACAAAACAGTGTTTTTTAGAACATTTCCAAGTAGAATAGATTTTAATAATACAAGAGCTTATTTGTATTACCAGTATATATGGGCTCTTCTGTCCTCTCCCGGCCACATAGTGATAGAGAAGGTATCCAACCACCACAATGACGCAAATAAATAAAGATGGAACAACAATACCAACAATGACCACCTGCAGCTGCTCAATCACAGGATCTGGAGGGGGGAAGGAAGTTTGAAGGCAATGAACGACAAAGCTGAATGCATCTCATGAGAAAATTATGTAAAGATTACCTATATAATGATTATAGCAAATATTTTTTTAGAAATTTAAAATGTGTTGCCATAAGGACAAAGAAATTAAGATTGCAGACATATTTCTGGTAATCCTTCTCTTCTCAACTCCAGTATCGTGTTAAGTCACATTCCTTCGCCAAAAATGTACCTCGGGGTGTGGTTTTGCAGTGCCAGGCAGAGCTCTGGCAGTGCACTGGCATGGAGAGGAACCTGGATTTAGCAGAGAAGCAGTATTCTGTGCTGTATTCCAGCAGGCGGTATTTGTACTGGCTGGTGACCACTGGAAGATGATGCTGCAAACATCCACGTGCACAGATAAGCTCTTGTGCAGGTGCTCATGTTACAAAGTGCTCTAAGTTTCGCTCACCGTCTGGTCACGATGGTTGTTGCGGATGGAGAGGTTGTAGGTCATGTGGTGGTAGATTGAAGCCATGGAGAGCGCCGGGGTACGGTTGTTTGGGAGAAATCTCATTGGCCCTCTGAGAGTGATGATGGCACTGTTGTTTTCTATTTCTACTGAAAGCAGCGGAGGGCCAAAAGTGGCTGTAGGGGCAGACAAAAAAAGGCGGATGTTTTGCGTATTTCATCCCAAAACAACCCAGCTATGTTCATGTGTCACTCACTATCCGATTTTGGGTCAAATCTCCTGCTTGTCAGAGCCCATTTGGAGGATGCTCCTCCGCCCACGGCGCGAACGCGGGCGTGGTACCCCTGCTCCACATCCCACGTCTCAGAGCTCAGATCACACCAGGTCCGAGCTATGTCTGTGCACTGCTGCACGGCTCTCCAGTTCACCCGTCTTCCTTTGCTGCCCGCTATCGTGTCCCCGTAGCTGAGAACCACAGTGGAAATCCACACGATAAGGCTGTCTCCTTAAACTTCTCTACAAACCTTCTGCATTCTTACTTGGACGGAATAAGAACATAAGAACGAGGCATTTTCACACATTTCACCTGTTGCCTTTAGACAGTTTTAAACCTAAAATCATCACTCACATGGCATATTGCACGGTAAAAAACGTGTCGTCTGGTGTGCCATTTCCAGCAAACCAGTGCAACACATTCCTCAGATTCACGGAGGAGAAGCTGACATTGATGGGTCTGGGAGGAGTGGTGGACACTGTGGAGGAAGGAGCCAAAAGCAGAGAAAGAAGTGAGGTATGTTTCTGCTTACATAATGATGAAGCAAAATATTTTCCCCTCACTTTACATCTGGCTTGCTGACTGACTGACTGACTGACTGACTGACTGACTGACTGACTGGTAGTTAGTGATACTGACCCTCACACTTCCTCTTTTTTTAATAGTAGTTAAATTTGTTAATATCTCACTAACAGTTCAAAGTACCTCTTACAGTATACCACGGGGGTTGACTTTTCTTCAGTTAGAAAGGACAGAATCTGTTGCACTGGGATAACTTTGACTCATTAAATGTTTGAAGAAGTGAAACTATACAAAGTTTAACACTATTGGACATACAGTCTTTAGTGTGCATTTAGCTGGGCTTGTAACTTTTCTTTTAAACCTGAACATACACACGTTTAGACTTATGTGTGTGTTATTTAGAGCTTAAACCATAAAGTCTTAACAAATCTTTCCTTATTGTTTGTCTCATATTCATGTTCTACCTCCAAAGGAGTAGTCAAAAAAAATGTATGTACAGAACTCAGTTTTTACAGCTACAAAAGTGGAAAATATGTTGTATTTGTTACTCCACAGCATTTATCTGATGTTATTTTCTAGTTACAAATAAGTAAAATGATCTTATGAGATGGGTTTATGCTTTGTTTCGCTTTAGTAAGAGATTTCTTTTTTATTATAGTGAATGCCTGCGGCTAAATAACAAATAACAAAACGAGCGGAACAAAATGAGATCCCCGGCAAATCAAATCTGATTTACATTGAGATTCAAATCAGTGAAGGATTTCTCTGATGTGTTTCTCCTGTTAGTGTACACACATCTGTGTGAGGCCCCGTGGGAAAAGCGCACTGATCGGCTCTTATCAACAAATCAGCCTTGGTGTTTCTCAGGAAAAAAAAAAGCGAAAAACAACAGCCATACTCGCACGAATAGTTCAACACAGTCCTACCTGCGGAGCACAGAGCCAAAAGGTTAACGAGAGCAAACAAAGTCCACATCTCTGGACGGAGAAGTCATGCTTTCAACAGAAAGCAGCCGCTTCTTAGGACCCACGGCCGCTCCCCCCACAGGACAGCGGGTCTCCCCGTGGCCCTCCACAAGATGAGAAGAGATCCAAAAACAGTCCAAAAACAAGAAGCTCTAGAGATGCCACCAGTTGTCTGTTCTGGTAAATCCTCAATGATTTATCGAGACAGGTTTCCGTGTAGGACAAGGAATGTGACCCCTCTGGTTTGTGCACATATCACACCTGAGCAGGTGCACTCCCCATGTGATGTAGACACACGAAATCCAACCCACCTGACGCTGTCACCGTCTCATTAGACCGCTTCCTTTAATATCTTTCCTGGCACATGCACAGGATATTACTTTGTTATATAATTCTGTGACACCGAAAATTCCATTTTGATGTTGCCATGTTATTCATTTTGCTTGAATGCGTCCAAGAAAACTTATCTGTATCTGTTTCATTTCGGTAGATCCGACAGCGTGCTTTATCCCAGATCAACCGATTATGGCAACTGTAAACATCTTGACACCAGTCTATATGTTTCTAACAGAATTGCTCCCACAATCTTTTTTGCAGACCTTTACAAACCCGCAACACAACTTTGCAGAGCCGAATTTCCTTTTCAAGATTTTTAAAAATTCGTTATGTAATATTCTCTAAGTTACTTTTACTTATTTTCTGTAGTTTTTCATGTTACTGTGTAATTTGTGCCTTTTACTCTGCAACAAACAATTATGGGTATGATTAAATACTGTGATTTCCTCTCTTTTATTTGGTTTATTATTGAACAACAGTACCAATGGTATTTTAATATTTAGTCAACCGAAAGTCCTAATTTACACTATAGCAAACCAAACACAACAGAGCAGCAAACATACTCAATAGTGACATCTACTGGCTAATAAATGCCATTACTCTTTCCTGTTGACAAGAGACTCGACATCAAAACAAATTTTTAAAGGAAAATCTAAAATGGAGGACGATTTATTAAACTTTATGCAACGATTGTAATTTATTATACTTCAAAGTAGCTTCAACAGGATCAGAGGTTACAAATTAAAAGGCCAAAGTGCAGCGGAACTGTTGATGTATTCCTCGAATGTGTTACCGGTTTGTTTTGGCAGTTGCGCATCCTATGGCGCATTCATTCCAGTCCCTGTTAGCATTAGCTTTATCACGTAGCATTCCTGGAGCAGGAAACCGATCCATTGTGTGATGTTTGGGTGAAAATATACTCTTGAAGCTGCAAACATGGCGCTTTCGATGGAAACGCAGCTGCAGAGCATCTTCGAAGATGTTGTGGTAATTTGCATCTTCATGAACTGATTCACAGATCAGCTAACGTGACTTAGCAGCTCACAAAATATTAGCACTTTTCTAATGGTGTTCTCTCACATGACTAACAGTTACACAAAGGAGTGAACTGAATACATTCTGCATGCTTTATTGTCAACTGTAATGATCAGAATCACTAAACTCTCAAACATGTTAAAGTATTTGAAGTTTTGCGTTTGATGTTAAAAATTCCAGAAATCATTGTCTGTTTCCAGCTCATTGTAAACATTTGCTAAGCATATCTGTTTCACATTTACCTTGAATCTCATGGAAATCGTGTTTTCGATATGAACCCAAACCATATTAATCCTAATTTGTAAAGGAAATGGTGTAAATCTATTCCTGTCACAAATTGTCCTTTCTTTCTTTCATTTCTCAGAAAACAGAGCTGATAGAAGAGGCCTTTGCAGGGTAGGGTGAACCAGAGTTTGCGTGCAAAATAGTTAGTTAAAAACTGTTGAAAAATGTTACTTTGTTGTGTGTTTGAATGATTTATATGATTTATTATTATTTAATCCGCATGCTGTCTGTGAAATAGAGGAGAGCAGTTGTAACTAGTAAAGATTGTTTTCAGAATGTTCATGGACACTCCTGAGGATGAGAGGACTAAACTTATCAGCTGTCTTGGAGCTTTCAGACAGTACTGGGGAACACTTCCACAGGTTTGTACTCTCAAACAGGTGAAATCACTAAAAAACTCTAAATGATTTTATTCTTTTTTTAACCCTGACCACTGTCTTTTTACAGGATTCTCATGAGCAGTGTGTGCAGTGGATCGTTCGCTTTATACACAGCCAGCATAGTCCCAAAAGGATCTCCTTCCTATATGATTGTCTAGCAATGGCTGTGGAGACCAGCCTGTTACCGCCAAGGTCCATAAACTTGCTCATTAAAGCATAATTTGATTTGAAATTGAATTATTTAGGGATTTGTCTACAGTATGGGATTCATGATATTTCCACGATTGCTTTTGATTGTGTAAATGTATGTGTTTTATAAGCTGACAGACACATCATATGGTGGCCTGCTAATTTATGTCATCTCCCACTGGTCACCCTTATGTTGAATCTGTTCTGTTTTTAGGATGGTGTGTGTTGCTCTGATCAGCTCAGACAGTTTGGAGTGGGAAAGGACTCAGCTGTGGGCTTTAACATTCAAACTGATCCGCAAAATCATCGGAGGTGTCGACTACAAGGTCTCTTTACACACACTATGCATACACAGCTAATGCATTTAATGTTTGTTTTTTTTCCAAAGAAGCTATTCTGTTATTTGTTCATCCTGGTTTTGACTAGCTACAGTAAGCTTTTGATGTGAGTTTAGTGACACTGTCAGGTCATCACAATTAGCATGACTACGCTGAGATTTTTATTTTCTTATTTGTTCTGAAATAACTACTGAGACGGTAAGCTCGAACCATCACATTTGTTTTAAAATGTGTTTTAGGGTGTTCGCGATCTGCTGAAAGCCGTACTGGATAAAATACAAACCATCCCTACGACTGTCAGCTCGGCTATAGTTCAGCAGCTTTTTGCAGCCAGAGAGGTACCCCCCTGTTTTTTCCTTCTTCTTCTTTTCTGATTGAATTATTGGTCTTTTGGTCACTTGACTTTGATTACATTAATAATTGCTTTTTTTCCAGGTGGTGGAATATATCCTGGACAGAAAGGCCTGCCTTCTGCCGGCCTATTTTGCTGTCACCGAAATCAGAAAACTTTATCCGGAGGGACAGCTGTCTCACTGGGTCAGTTAGAGATCAAGTAGCTGTGCAGCTGTGTTTCTGACACACTTTCTGTCATAATCATTAACTTCTTTATTTCTCTCTTGTTTGTAGCTTTTAGGCAGTTTAATATCCGACTTTGTGGACAGCTTTAGACCAACTGCGAGAATCAACTCTATATGCGGTAAAAGTCACATACAAACACACTGGGAGTTAACAAAAAGTTATTTTTAAGTTTTTTTTATTTAGGTTTTTATTGAGGAATCTGTTATGTCTTTGAAACCTCAAGCTTTTTTTTTCCCGCTGAAGCTTAGGAGATCCTTTTTGTAGGCTAGCAACTGCATTTAAGGGTAAGAGTAGTAGTAACATCTTAGGGGCGACATCAAGTCCTAAGGAAGTTTAAGTTTCTGCTGTTTCAAACAAAGCCTTCACGGTCAGGACTCTTCTTTGTTTGCTTGAGAAGGAGGTGAGGGGGCAGTGGTGTTTACACAACTGGAGGAAGTAAAAAAACAGTCTACAGCCATTGCCACAACAAATCCATAAATCAGATAAGAAAAAAAGCATATTTGCCAAACGTTTCACTGCGGTTACGTTGTAAACCAAATTTAAACAGAGCCATGTTGTGGCTGAACTCTGCGGGGACACGGCACACGAGCAGCCTATAAGGAAGTCCCAATTTCCCTGTAGAGCCCCAAGATAAATGTTTGCAAGGATGTGTGCACAGATGTGGCTGTTTGCTGTAATATCTGTGGTTCTCACACAAGCAGTGTGAGGAACACAGATATTAACTTTTGTAGGACCTTCTGTCCTACAAAAGGACAAATTAATGATGAGAGGGTAAGCTGAGATCAGCAGACAGGGATCCCATCCTTTTCCACTTAGAATAAAGCAAACCAAGATCTATTTTTTCAGAAAAAAGTGCCATCTTTTGAATAGTTTATTGGTATTTATCTCTTAAACAAATAAGACCTTGTTACATTAATGGGTATGTCAATGATGCTTCATTTTATGCTTGTTTTCCAGTATTTAAAAAAAAAAAAAGACTTTAGTGCTGTTTATTGAAATGTTTTGTCTCTTGATGTCGCTCCATTTGATAAAAAGCTTAAGAGTATTTCCTTACAATCTGTACGAACGACAAAGTTGCATTGTGTCCACTCAGTATTATGTACTTTTAGTTTATATTTAATTCAAACACAGTGGTTTTTACAGGCCACTGTTTAGACAAAATAATTGTAGTCCTATAACTAGTTTGACGGAGAGAAGTACAAAAGGGTTGATTTCAAGTTTTAGAGGCTGACTGTAAATTTTCAGCTTAGAAACCAATCCCTGAAGTTAGTATTCAGGTTCCATCCACACAAAAGACACCCTGAGAAATAGCATGAACACAATATGGTTTCTAAACAAAGCAATGCTTGCTGTCAGCTTCACATTCTGTATTTTTTATTTCCCTGTTTCAGGGCATTGTCTGATTAGCGTCTCACAGCCACATCACACCTCCTCAATGTCAATCCAATGCCTCTTTTTAGAGATATTTCTCAAAACAGCAAGCATGCTTTCTTTGTTTTGATTTTTTTCTCTTTATTCCAAACCTGGTGTGTGAGTCATAAAGACGCATACTGCAAAAGATGAACACAATACAGTTGAAATAGGGTCAGAAATGTGTGAATTTTAGATATGGTCTCTTTTTTTTCTCATTCACACAGATTAGTCCTCTTTCTTACACTGATTTCTAGAATTCTGTTTTCTAGAAGAAATATGTTTGTGAGTTTGACATTTTTTTTCTGTAAATTGAAAATGACGTAGATCCAACATTATGACATTTCTGTCCATTGTGCCCTTATGTACACGCAGGGCGATGTAGTTTGTTACCAGTGGTGAACAACAGCGGGGCAATCTGCAACTCCTGGAAATTAGATCCCACAACTCTCCGCTTTCCCCTGAGGGGCATGTTGCCTTTTGACAAGGTGCATACATACACATACTGTGTATAGACACTTCACACACTTCTACACTTACACCTTAGTGTAAACATTCTTCTGGTCTTGTGTGTAGGACCTGTTTGAGCCTCAGACCGGCTTGCTCCGTTACGTGCTAGAACAGCCCTACTCAAGGGAGATGGTGTGCAACATGTTGGGACTCAACAAACAGGTAAAACAACTTTATTCTGTTCCGTTGCTTCAACACCAGCCCCCTCCCTCTAACTGCTCCCACTGGTCCTCTCCATGTCCAAACTCCTTCTTTTTTTAAAGATCTCTTATCTCATATACTTGATTTTCCTTTTTCACTTTTGATCATATTTCTATTTGTCTATCATTTCTGTGTGAACTGGTTCTTTTAAAAAAATTCTTCCCAAGTTTTTTTTCCTCCTTCTTTTTTTATTTTCATTTTGGTGATTGGCCTTTCTTGGTTCCCTCTCCCTAGACACCTACCATCTCCATTGTTTCCCTCATGCTCTGTAAACACAGCCGTAAAGGGCCATGTAATGCAATGCTGTGAGCTTGACCCATAATGCACTGATGTCAGTATTCCCTGTTGTTTTCGTGCAGTTTCAGCTCAGCCCAGCTGATCGCAGCCTTAACAATATCCAAACATTGTTGCCAACAAAAATGCTCTAAACAACAGCGAAAACTTAACCCACAATCTGGTCCATGTGTCTGACAAGGCTGAGTTGATGCTAACTGTGCTGAACAGACAGTGAACAACCTACTGTAGCTCCTTGGTCACCACTTTCTCTTTCTGTCTCTCCCTTTTTCCTCCCTCTCTGTTTCTTTCTTTCTTTTTTTCTTCCCCTTTTCTCTCTCTTTTGTCCTCTGGTTGTGTGTCGTGTTTGTTTGTCTCTCTGCCATGCGCTCTCTAGACTCTGAACATTGCCCAGGTATGTTGTTGTTCCTCCTCCCGGTCCCACGATCGGCCAACTAACCAGCTTACTGGACGACTAGTCGTTTTTTGATTGTTTGTTTTTTTGTTTGTTTTTGTTTTGTTTTGTTGCTTTTTTTTTTTTTTGTTTTTATTTTTCTTTTTTTTTTTTTTTAGACACGCTGATTTGCTAGAAATTAGAAAACTGGACAGAGAAAGATAAAAGAAAGAAAATGAAAGAAAATGCCAAAAAAGAGAGAAATGCTACAGAGCTTGAGATGGACACAGCAGGGATGCAAAGAGACGGAGAAAAGTAGTCAAAGCAAGGGGGCGGTAGTGCACGATGCTAAGCAGGTGGATGAATGTGACCTGCAGGAGTGGGTTTGCATTCAGTTCCTGCAACATTAAGCACGGATGGTTTGTTGAATTCGATCACGTGCAAGTAAAAAAAGCGCTGCATCAGTTTATTTTGCTTTGCATGCTGCGTTATTACACTAAGCTGAATGGAGTCCAAATCCAAACATATTGAGTGTATATGTCTATTGGTTTCAATATATTTAAGTGAAACAGTTCATACTTATTAATTGAAATGATTAATCAAGAGTGAGGAGCAGTGATTTTCTGTCACTCACCTGGGTCTGAGAATTTTATTAGTGCTCACAGTAACAAAAAAAACAACTTAGATTAATATATTTTTGTTATGGGAATTTCTTCCACTTTTAGGGTTATCTTGCTCTCACTGCATGTGCAATCACGTGCAGTGAGCAACACTGTGGTTGTCATCCAGACTGAGACAGCATGCAGCTGCCTCAGCATCAGGAAAAGGGCTTGTTTTTGTCCAGCTGACATATCTAACTTCAAACCCTGCTGTGGACATTTCAGGCGCTGCCGCTCTGCATGTTTGGATGTAGTCTGGTGCTTGTCTGCTGTTTACAAGCCCCTCCAGTGTCAGACCTGCTGCTGCTGCTTTTTGTTGTGCTGATCCGGGCCAAACTTCACCCCGCACTCTGAGCAGCAGACATACCTTCTTAAACCGGGCATCACTACTTTTCGTTTTCACTTCTGGTGAACGGTCAGTAAGTGGGAGTCAGAAGGTGACTGCAGCCGACTGCACACCCAGCCAGGCAGGATGCTGTGCCCATCCCCGAGCACAACATACTACACAGTCGCTTGGCAACAGTAGCAGAACACTGAACTTACTAGTCATAAAAAACATGAAAGTAACAGATTGATTTAATTGTATAGTAAAATTTTAAGTAAAAATAGTATCATCTTACAAGTGATTCAGTCTCTCTCATCTCCTAAATGAACAGAGGATTTGTTTGTGACACCAGCAAACTTCTGCCATTCTTCATTTGTTTTTGCTGAAATGATGGAAAGGTTTGTTTTTCCCCCAACTGCTCAGTTATCACTCTAAAGTGTGTGATCATCGTCTTGCCCAGATTAGGGACTGAGTGAGTCTGACTGGGTGGCTGTCTGGCTGAGTCTGACCCGTGAAGAGTGGTGCCCATTGGCTAAAAAATAGGCAGTAAATAAAGGCTGCACAGGCTTTTTATTCATTTGTGCTCAAATGATTGTTTGAAAGCCCCTCTGTGACCTGCGGCAACATCCTCAGCCGAAGACTGAAAGCTCTCCCTCTGAGATGAGGAGAGTAGGTCAGAGGATCGAGACAGTGGGGGCCCGAAGGCTTTGGGGCATTTGCAGAGTGTTAATTATCATCAAGCCACATGTAATCCTGCTGATCAGCCGTTGTCAAACACTTCCACATTTGTCTTAGATGGATAACAGGTGGATGGATCTGACAGTGCTCACATTCAGGCATTTTGAAATTCAAAACGCAGCCAGAAATTTGACAAACGGGCATCTTGTGCTGTTTGATTATGGATTAGATTAAATGAGGACCGTATCTGCAAAATCAAGTTACAAATACAGCCTTTCCATGGCTGTGGCTTTATTCTTGCTTTTTGGGTTTAGATATGTTAATTTTAGATGTTTATTTTTTTTTGTATGTTTATTTTTTACTTTTAGGAATATATGCTTTTGGAAACTCGTCTTTCTTTCTTTTTCTCTGTCCCTTTGTTGTCCCATCTCTCTCTCTCTCTCTCCCTCTCCCTCTCCTTTTCTCTATGTCTCTGTGTGTATATACGTGTGTTTGGGTGCAGCGGAGGAGAGTTTGTACCAAAGGCCAGTTCAAGTTTAAAAAAAACAAGGGACAGTCAGCCTCACAGCTCCTCTTCTTCCTCCCAATCACACCCCTTCCCTCCTCCTCGGACCTGCCAGCCTGCATGTGGGTTTGGTTCTGTTTGCTGTCTGTGCTGTGCTATCCACTGTCGTACTGTACTTCTGCGTGGTGTGTTGTACCGTGCCGTTCAATCCCTTGCCCAGCTGTGTTCCAAACTTGGGTTCTCTCTTTTAGAAATTCTGATAAAAACTGTGCATGCAGTTGTTAATTTATTTGTTAACAGGCACAAGGTTTAGTTTCACATTGGGGCAGTAAAATGTAATCAGTCCGCTCATTTTTTAGTCTACCTGCCTTCTCTGCTGCTCATCATCACTCTTGATCCCCAAACCTCTCTTTTTCTTTATTACAGATTTTTATAGGGCTTTTTACACCTGAAGACAGTCTCAAGCATTTTCTAGGTAGTTTCTTGAGCCCCTAACCCACTACAAGCCATCCCTGCTGAATATGTCGATATTCACCTCACTCTAGTTTAATTTGAGCTTGTTTTTACTTAGGTCAGTGTTATTGTTCTTTTTTATCAATGTGGACGTGCAAGCTGCCAAGTTCATTTTGATCAATAGTAATTTGTAAGGATGTTCTGACAGGGATTAGCTTCTCACATTTGTAATTTACTAAACACTCGTTAGTTGTTTTGATATGACGTGCTGATTTCACACATAAGCACCCGAGGTTCTCAGAAGAAAGGGTCGACAGTTTTACCCAGTCTTTTTCCGCAGATGATACTCCCATGACAACATGACAGTGCGAGACTTTCGCTGGAAATGTGTCATCCCGGCTGGACATATGATTGTATGGGTGTGGAGGTTTGGGTTTCTAGAGTTCCTGGGCTTAATATTCTTCAGTTTTCTTTTCATAGAAGACAAGGCTCATTTTTGCACTGAAATGAGCACTTAGTGCATCCGTTATTTTGTTATTCAAAACAACCGATGATGAGCAGAATTTTGCCAACAGAGCAGCAGAAAGGACAAACTCACTCTCGCACTTGCACACGTCCAATCCCAAAGCGGCCGTGAATTGTGTACTGGTTTACTTATGCCATAAAAGCCTGAGTGGCAACTATTGGGTTAGAGCTACATTAAGCTGAAGCCAGATGACAGAGACTGAAAGGAGATGCAGTCCTTTTTTGCAAGGGATTGAAATGTTTTTAATAAGTCAGCATGTAATTGTGTCTGGAGCATGAATCGGCAACCTTTTAACGTGTAGTAATGATATTATTGTCTTTCTCTTTTTCAAAATCTTTTTCTGTCTGTTCAACCTCCTCTACTTCGAGCCGGCCATGTTCTTCATCCGTTAACACTCTCCTCCTCCCATCCCAGCAAAAGCAGCGCTGCCCGGTGTTAGAGGAGCAGCTGGTGGACCTGGTGGTGTACGCCATGGAGCGCTCTGAGACCGAGGAACATTTCGACGCCGACATCGGAGGAACTAGCCAGTTACTGTGGCAGCACCTCTCCTCCCAGCTCATCTTCTTTGTGTTGTTTCAGTTTGCCAGTTTTCCCCACATGGTGCTATCATTACATCAAAAGGTAATGGGAAGGGTACTGAGAATGTAGATCAACCCGATATACCGCTTTATTTAATTAAAAAATGTTTTGGTTTTTTTCATCAATTTTCTCCTCTAAATTTGTGGACTGGAACTTCATAGTGAGATCCACTTGTTGAAAATTGGCCCTGTGATGCCCAAAGCTATAAAAGCCCAGACTGAATAAAAGATATAATAGATTATAAAAGTAGTCCCTTTTGCATTTGGATTGAATCGCAGCCTTGGGTCTGAGCTAACTCACGTCCATGTGTTAGAGCACTACAAGTAGCCTCACATGTTTGCAGCAATCCAGGCCGTAGGCTGCTCTTTGTTGTGGTGCTACTGCAGTTGGTGCTTTTGCTCTTCTCTGAAAATGTCAGAAGTCAGTGTGGACATTATACTTTGAGGTGGGGTGAAAGGGCAACAGTGAAAGGGCAACATTTACATAAATGTTTATGTTGCCCTTCAACAAAGCATTTCAACTTATGGACCAGCGCCCACTGGGTTTATTTTATTATTTTGTAGATCTCAGACATTTTTGTGTATGGCAATTCCAGAAGTTTGTTTATCCCAAGAATTAAGTTTTTAAAGCCACTGAATTGTTTTCCTTCCTTATTCTGATGCTTGAACATGAACACATCCTCTTCAGTCTCTGTGTTGACTGACTCGATATTGTTTTCCAAGAGTGTTTGAAACGGTATGAAGTCATTACAAGTGCTATTGCAGTAATAAACAAAGTGTCAGGGAAAAAATATAGCAAAGCAAATGATTTACAGGAAGAAATTGAGGAAATACTTCTGTCTTTCTCTTGTCTCAGCTTGCAGGTAGAGGTCTAATTAAAGGGAGAGATCACCTCATGTGGGTCCTGCTGCAGTTCATTTCAGGGAGCATTCAGAAGAATGCCCTGGCTGACTTTTTGCCAGTGATGAAGCTTTTTGACCTGCTTTATCCAGAAAAGGAGGTAAACACTTAACAAGTACACTATCCACTATACTGGCCTTTAATCTTGTATGCAAAATCTTAGAATGGTGAACATTTGTTCTGTTTTTTATTGATTTTTTTTTCTTTTGGTCTTACAGTCTTAATTTTGTGTCTCATGCAGCACTTATGTTTTCTTTCCTGCTGCAGTGCATCCAGGTGCCTGACATTAACAAGCCTCAATCGACACACTCTTTTGCCATGACATGCATTTGGATCCACCTGAACCGCAAAGCTCAGAACGACAACTCCAAACTCCAGATACCCATACCACACTCTCTGAAACTTCACCACGAGTATGTGCCTTATACATCAGTTGCCCGAAAACGGGATTAAATTGTTTGTATAATGACCTTCTGCCTGCTTTCCCCCCTCAACTTTTCTTAGGTTTCTCCAACAGTCGCTTCGTAACAAGTCCCTGGGCATGTCCGATTATAAGATCGCCCTGCTGTGTAACGCCTACAGCACCAACTCCGAGTGCTTTACTCTACCAATGGGTGTCCTGGTTGAGACTATTTATGGCAACGGCTCAATGCGCATCAACCTGCCTGGCACCAGCTGCATGGCTTCGGGATCAGTCACTCCGCTGCCCATGAATCTGCTGGATTCACTCACAGTGCATGCAAAGATGAGGTAGGATTGAAAGAGAAAAAGATTAAAAGGCAGGTAGAGATGTGAAAAATGGGAAAAAAACTGAAGAAGAAATATTTGAAATGCTTCTGTTTCGTTTCCAGTCTGATCCACAGCATCGCAACCCGCGTTATAAAGCTGGCTCACGCCAAGTCCAGCCTCGCCCTGGCCCCGGCACTGGTAGAGACCTACAGCAGACTGCTGGTCTACATGGAGATCGAGTCACTAGGCATCAAAGGGTTCATCAGTGAGTTGGTTTAATGTCAGCTCACCTTTTCTCGTTGCTTCAAGTCCATAGCTTTTCAAGGCCATTTTTAGTCGCACACACACCTCACATTTTCTTAGGCTCAGACAAAAAATAAAGAGAGAGCAATAATAATTTGTTTACTTACTTTCATAATTACAGCCCCCAAGAGTACAACAGTTTACTTAGATATTCCCATAGTGTAGATAATGAATATGTTGATATTATCAGTGAATTAATTTCTTCTCTGATTTTAGTGCTAGTTGTGCCCTCAAATCTGAGTCTTGTTCAGAAGGAAATAAAGTGTATGAACTCAATTGACTATGGATGATTTACAAGATCATTGTCTACTTTCTTTTACGTCATTATCTCTTTTCCACTTGGTTGCATTTTGGTTGTCTCTCTCTCTGTGGCCGAGCTCAAGCTTTTTAAAAAACTGTTTCCAGGCCAGTTGTTGCCCAACGTGTTCAAATCTCATGCGTGGGGAATCCTTCACACTTTACTGGAGATGTTCAGCTACAGGATGCACCACATCCAGCCACACTACAGAGTCCAGCTACTGAGTCATCTGCACAGCCTGGCTGCCGTGCCACTCACCAACCAGAACCAACTGCATCTGTGGTAACGTGGACACATTTGCATACATCACACATATTTAGTCTGGCACACTACAGGATAACCCACAGGTGTATTTTATGTTTTTTTATTTTTAATTTTTAATTTTTTTCAAACTGAAAAGAAAATTCCAGCCGTAAACAGTCATTAGAATATCTTAATTGATTTATGTGCATGAAACCAGGAGGTAACTTAATTGTGAAAACAAGGAGTGTAGTGCCAGAGGAAGGAGTTCTAACTATAATGTAGCTGTATCTGTATACAAATCCATGAAATGGAAGTACATTTTTAAGAAAATGTGTAGTTACATGCTTATTTTAGTTGTTTTTTTAGCTCTGCTGCTGGAGAACAACTGCGCAATATTGCATAGGTTTTTTAAAAAAATGTAATGAATGATAAAGATTTATTGTTAGGTTATTAACTAGCTTGCTTGCTTCAGAGAACTTCTTTTAAGGATGTGGATTTTTAAAGATTTCCATTTATTTTCCCTGTCGATGTTTTGTTTGAATGCCATTCTCATAACAACCGATAATGGTCTTCAGATAAAACAAACTCGTCATGGCCCGTTTGTTTTCATTTTTCTTTATAGGGCTGAGCTGCAAGAGTGAGTGCAGCCCCAGACAGGTTCAATTAGAGGCAGCGAAAACTGTACAATCTGTCTGTCTGACAGTCCCGCTCAGAAATGATTGACTATTTTTCTAGAAAGTCAGGCTTATCAGAAATTTTGATCCAACGCAAGCCGAGGTCATCTTTATCTATGGCAGCGGTCTGCCAGCACGCCGCGGGAGCAGGGCTTCTAATATTTGGCTCCACCTATAAATGTGCATTAACGTTGTCATTAAAAAAAAGGATTTCTGTCTCCCTTCCTCAAGCGTGGAGAGCACAGCTCTGCGGTTGATCACAGCTTTGGGCAGTTCAGAGGTGCAGCCACAGTTCACCCGCTACCTCAACGACCCAAAGACTGTTCTGTCTGCCGAGTCCGAGGAGCTGAACCGCGCCTTGATCCTCACACTGGCCAGAGCCACACACGTCACAGGTACGTCCCAGCGTGGTTACGCCTGCTGGCTCTTTTCATTCAAATCACATAGCTGTTTTTTTTCCCCCCATTTTTCAAATGTATTTTTAAGTTTGTTTATTTCCATTAATGATTTTTAGTGTTTATTTGACCTATTCATCTCTGATACTCACATATAATGTTCACCCGCTTTGCACCTGTGCAGACTTTTTCACAGGGTCCGACTCCATCCATGGCACTTGGTGTAAAGACATCCTCCAGACCATAATGAACTTCACCCCTCACAACTGGGCCTCACACACACTGTCCTGCTTCCCTGCTCCACTACAGGTGCAAATACGATGCCCCTCATGGAAAAAAAGTGAAAATCGGAAGCCCTTATTTGAATACTCCCAGTCCTGTTGTAACTCCTTTGCCTCTGTCTTCCATGCAGGCGTTCTTCAAGCAGAACAACGTTCCTCAGGAGTCCCGTTTCAACCTGAAAAAGAATGTGGAAGAGGAGTACAGAAAGTGGAAGTCGATGGCCAACGAAAATGACATCATCACCCACTTCTCCATGCAGGGCTCTCCTCCTCTTTTCCTCTGTTTGCTGTGGAAAATGCTGCTGGAGACAGACCACATCAACCAGATAGGCTTCAGGTCTGGAGTTAAATTTAGACTTAACACTGACCTTCAATAACCGAGTAACTGAGACGCCTCTAAAATCAGTCAGATGAAGCATGTTTACTGATGCAATGATGATGAGGCATTTTAGATTCCTATTAATTGGCCCAAAGGGTTTGTTCTCAACAATATAATCTAATTGATCCAGGGGGAGTAGCAGTAGTAGAGTTCAGTAATTGACACAGACATTTTTTTTCTTGCATTGTTGTTGCCTATTTATTAATTGTTCCTCCTAATTTGTTCCTTAGGGTCCTTGAACGTATTGGAGCTCGTGCACTGGTGGCTCATGTACGAACATTTGCAGACTTCCTCGTCTACGAATTCTCAACATCAGCCGGCGGACAGCAGCTCAACAAGTGCATCGAAATACTTAATGACATGGTCTGGAAATACAACATAGTCACTTTGGACAGACTCATCTTGTGCCTGGTAAGAACGCTGAGAAAACTGGGGTTATGTGGAGCAGCACAGAAATGCTCGACTTGCTCACCGTCTCTCCTGTAAATGTGTGAGCACATCTTATTATTGCTATATCTGTGCACTCATAGGCAATGCGTAGCCACGAAGGAAATGAGGCCCAGGTTTGCTACTTCATAATCCAGCTCCTCCTGTTGAAGCCCAACGACTTCAGGAACCGAGTCAGCGACTTTGTCAAAGACAACGCTCCTGAGCACTGGCTGCAGAGTGACTGGCACAACAAGCACATGAACTACCACAAGGTACAAAACAGAGAGCTGGATCCCCATTCATTCCTAGATTAAACAAGCTGAAAAACGGCTGCTGTTACATTAACAGGACTGCATGTTTCCAATAAAAGTTTTTTTTTATCACCAGAAATACCCAGAGAAGTTGTACTTTGAGGGTCTTGCAGACCAAGTCAACCCCCCCATGCAGCTCCAGCCTCAGTACCTGCCCATTTACTTTGGCAACGTGTGCCTGCGCTTCTTACCCGTCTTTGACATCGTCATCCACCGCTTTCTGGAGCTTCTCCCTGTCTCCAAATCCCTGGAAACGCTTCTGGACCATCTGGGAGGACTCTACAAATTCCACGGTGTGTGGAGCTCCCCGATTCCCTGGTAAAAGGGAGGGTCTTTTCTTTTCTTGCTCGTACTCATGTGTCTTCCCTGTATTTGCGTGCAGACCGCCCGGTGACCTACCTGTACAACACACTTCACTACTATGAGCGACACCTGAGAGACAGAACCAGCCTGAAGAGGAAACTTGTCCATGCCATCATGTCCTCACTGAAGGCACGCAGAGCACTCGCATGCACACTTAGAAATACAGTCATATGCGTTTTCTCTTTTTATGCTGGCTGCTTTTTATTCTGAGGTCTCTGTGCCAATTTGCAGGAAAACCGGACTCCAGGTTGGTGTCTGAGTGAAACCTATTTGAAGTTTGGCATGAACCCCAGAGAGGACAACGTGTGGATCCCAGATGACACCTACTACTGCAAGCTGATTGGGCGCCTCGTGGACAATATCCTTTATTGGGCTCCCTGTTGCTTTAGAGATTCATCGCCATAACAACATTAGGCTGAGAGAGGCTGGCAATGGAGAGACACGAGTCTCTGGAGCACCCGTGTATTATGTTTGTGTAAATCTGTATGGTAAAATCTCCCTTAATAGCTATAAAGAGAGACGGTAGTTAATAGCCCTCCTCGGTTATTTTCACTATGCTCAAAGGGGTTGTCGGAGCATTATTGGAAAGAAGATTTGAGAGGCTTACATGCACACAGTGCTGCATTTAGACAATTAATAACACTCCCACGGCCCTCTCGAACCTCGTTTCCTTCTACGTTGTATATCCCTCCTTCACTCGCACCCACCCATGGCGGGTAAATCACCTGGTCCCTTCCCCAACTGCGACTGGAGGTTCAACGAGTTCCCCAACCCTGCAGCTCACGCGCTGCACGTCACCTGCGTGGAGCTGATGGCTCTGGCCGTGCCAGGAAAAGACGTCGGCAACGCTTTGCTCAACGTTGTGCTGAAGAGGTGAACCTGAGTTACAGGCTTTTTTTTTTTATCTTCTCTGCCGGTACTGGGTACCGTCCGCTGATACATTTGGCTTTCGGATTTGTGACTAAATGGATTCAAAATGTCCTTCCACCTTTTAGTCAGCCTCTGGTCCCCAGAGAGAACATCACAGCTTGGATGAATGCGATTGGACTTGTGATCACTGCACTTCCGGTAAGGAAATACTGACCACCCTAAGCCCTTTTTGGATAGCGGAATTTTCACGGAGTGTGCTCACTGCCACCACTCCTTTTCTCCTGTTCCAGGAGCCCTACTGGATCGTCCTCCACGACCGGATCGTGTCTGTGATCAGCTCACCGGCACTGACGTCAGAGACGGAGTGGGCGGGTTACCCTTTTGCCTTGCTGGACTTTACGGCCTGCCACCAAAGTTACAGCGAAATGAACTGCAGCTACGTGCTAGCATTAGCACACGCTGTATGGCACCACTCGTCCATCGGACAGCTGTCTCTGATTCCCAAGTAAGGGCCTCTCTGCGCTATTGATCCACCTCCGTGCTCTCCTTTTAGGATACTCATGCCTTTTTACACTTTTGTCTGCAGATTCCTGTCAGAGACTCTGAAGCCCGTCGTTCAGACAGAGTTCCAGTTACTTTACGTGTATCACCTGGTGGGGCCGTTTCTGCAGCGCTTCCAGCAAGAGAGGACACGGTGCATGCTGGAGGTATCACCGATTGTTAGCTGGGGAAAAGAATAGTCATACTCATATAATCAACATCTGTTAAGCTTCGTGACATCCAAGGCTCTTTTTTTAAGCATGTATGTGTCTTTGTTTCAGATTGGCGTGGCCTTCTATGAGATGCTGCAGGCTGTTGACCAACACTGCCAACATCTCAGCTACATGGACCCGATCTGCGATTTCCTGTATCACATTAAATACATGTACACCGGAGACAGTGTGAAAGATCAGGTGAGCTTGTGCCACATGCAGACCACTGCAAACAGGACTGACCGCACTACTCCTGGCCACCTGAGTGGACTGTGACACTACTTTGCCATCTCTCGTATGCTCCTAGTACACACATAAGATAAGTCATATAAAAGGCATTTTGTCTGCGTCAATGTAACCTTTTAAAGCAAATTTAAACTGAAATTAAGTTGTTGTGAGGTCAAACTGAGTTGAATGTTTAACAGGTAACATGTCCGTAGAGCAGACAAAAATAAACCGCAGATTCTCTGCTATTACGTCAGCGCTGCAGAGGCACCCTAGGAGTCAATGAAAGTGACCTTTTGAATTTTACCAGACCAAAGCCTGGTAATTATGAATTCTGCTAATCCACGACCCACTGAGTCTTAGTTCATGTCAGCTTAATGTAGTCTGAGTCTTCTAAGCCATCACTGTGGGATTTGAGCCAAACATTTGGATCACGATGCATTACATCAGCCTACAAACGATGGCATATAAATCACTTTGTGTTTTTCTCCAAAAGGAGAAGCACATAAATGTCACACCTTCTCTAAATATGAAACTCAGGCATATAATGCATCTGGTCTCCATCGATAAGCGATTATGACTCATGGTGCTCTTTAAAAAACAGACCATAAAAAGTCCCCATTATGCATTAAGGTTAGACAACTACCTGAATGTAGTGAATACTGTTGTTGTTTTTCATTAACATTTTTTGTAATCAAAACCTATAAAGACTGAAAGGCCAAAGGGAGAAGGCTTATCTAAAATGACTTTTTTGGTCATTTTTGCTTCTCCTTGAGAAGAGTTGTTTTAGCATTTCTAGTTTGGACCAGTGATGCAGTTCAAACGCCCACCAGTGCAGTTTGAGCTGGAAGCTTGGGTAGGAGTTGTTAGCACACACACCTGAAGTGAATCGGTTCATTTTGAGCTCCCATACAGCTGTATACATGGGTGCTGATAAGCCCACACCTTTTTTCTATTTGCCACCAACAGAAGCATGTTGGCTTCATGCCAGTCCCCACATTTATGGTTTCTCTGTCCAGGTGGAGAAAATCATCATGACTTTGCGTCCATCCATGAAGCTTCGTCTACGCTTCATCACACACAGCAGCATGACCGAGACCTCGTCATCAGCTGCCACCGCCGCCTCCACATCCTCCTCTTCCTCCTCAGGCACCCCTCAGCCCCCACCCCCCTCGCTCTCCTCAAACGCCGCCGCCTCTCCCTCCCCCTCATCCTCGCAGCACGCACACACAGCCATGTAGACACGAAAACAGGTGCGATCAGGACGGCGGGCTTAAAGGCTCAAAATCGCTGGCAAATGTTCAGTTTGTCAGCCGTTTGAAACATCAGAAGGAAATTCAACAGGTCACATCTTTCTAAACGAGAAGCCTGGGAGTTTAATTTAAAAAAAAGGAAAAAGGTTTTTTGTGTCTAAAAATGATGTTTGATAAACTTCTTAGGTGTATTTTGGTGTGTGTTTTTTTTACACATTTTTTATTATGTACATTACATTCGTTTTATAATAAACTGGACAACAACAATAATAAAAAACTTAACTACAAACTGTACATGTCTGTGATCAAATGGTTAAAGAGCAGCATTTCTTCAAAATAAACTATTCCACAGCATTTATCTGTTCTGATGGAATTTTATTGATTTCTTCACTGTTGTTTAGTGTACTTTAAAACATGATGGTTTTATTCGCCAGTAGGGGGGACCCCAGGGTTTGTTTCATGAGGCACATGTGTTTCACATTTATTATTGGTGTATGGTGAGTGTCAAACAACAGTTTCTCAGCCAAATTATAATGGAAGAGAAACCCATACGAGTTGATAAAGAGCCCAGCTTTCAGTCTTGAACTTGGCTCTGGCGCATGTTGGAGGTTTATTTTAAAAACAAAATTATGCCAACCTATTTATTTAAAGTGATACTTTTATTTAAGGAAATTCAAATGGTTCATCATCTGCAGTCTTATTTAGTTATTTAGAGAACAACCAACTTGAAAAAAAGACATTTGAATATCAGATGGGGAGAACGAGAAAACAGATTTATGAATAAATCAAACACCTTAGAGAACCCTGCTTGCTGACAGATTCTGCCAGCTTTGACATTTAAGGGAATTTCTCAAAGTTGTAATTTTTGTTGTCTAAACGCAGTCCTGTTTCATGGAAAGGAAATCTCCTTTGAAGTTGTTAAAGTTTGTTTTTCCTCTCGCACACCACTTATTCCACTGTCATGCTGGTCATAACCAAAATAAATCCACTGTGAAACCATTTGTTTGATTGTGTAGCTTATGTAGATGACATACCATCCCTACCAGTCATTACAGCCAAACTACACCACCTGACAGGCAGATTCTCATGATCCCAATTTACAACCCCTGTATTTTTCCCATTTAGTTTGTACATGAATAAACTCCCTCTGTAATTCTTCAATTCCAGTTAATCCATTTATCCTTATCTTTTTTTCTTGCATTCTTCATTTGAATAAGATAACTGTATCAAAGCAGCCACAGTTTAGACACACACCTCTGGCATTAATGTTTGTCAATATTTGAGACACAAACACAGGAAATGGACCCCCAAAAAGTCATGACTTGATGACATTTACAACCTACTAAACCATGATTTATTTCTGTTATCTCTTCTCTCTTACTTCAGTATAATGAGGTTAATGCCAATTGTTATGTTTACTTTTTTAAATCATCATTTTTTATTTTCTAACCGTCAGTCTTCTTTTCAATCTTTTTTTTAAGAGTATTAAATGCCCTTAATGTACATTTTCATATTTCTTACAACCTTATAGCAAAAACTGTTGCTTTTTCCTGCTTTGTCCTAATTTAGACTGTTTACACACACAAACCCCTTATGAAGTCTGACTAAAAGCAATTTCTTACTAACCTGTCAATCTATATAACAGTTTTTTTGTGGTCTCAAAAATGAAGCAAGTTCTTAAAAAAATGCAGTCATAAGCAGTGACACCTGCTCCAGCAGAAGGCGCTCTACATTCTGTTTGACCATGAACGCACCCTAGTAACCCCTCAATAGTTCAATGTTTGCAATGCTAACTTGACCTGAAATAGAGGAAACAAAAACCTAAATTTTATTAGGAAATTATATTAGTCATACTGTAAATAATACAGAGTCCAAAGTATGTTTCAAAAATGAGGAAACGCATACTTGTTGATTTAAAACAGACATTTTCTTACTATACAACATCAAATTTGCGGACTTAGCTGCTAGCTAGCCACCACAGTAACGTAGGCAGCCATCTTCATTATCTCACCTGGGTCAAATTTCAAGTTCCTTATATTGGAGCGAGTTGGTCGTGGTACTTTTATTTTGTGGCTTTAATAGGGGCTTGTTTCTTTATTGTATTCGAATTAAACTCGGCGGCGTCCACAATACTCCAGTGCCACAAAAGTAAGTGAAAAAGTAGGGGAAAAAAATTGCTAAATTGTTTTATGATATAACGTAAATGCAACTCATAATGCTACCTTTAGCCAACCGTGGACCTTAGTTTCACAGAAGCACACATACACAGACAAGCAAATATCTTTCTATGGGTGTGAACTTTTCATTCTCATGGAAACAACATGAATGTTGGGTATTGGTCTCCATACTTCTTTGAACCAACACAGGAAAGGATGAGTCATTTTGATGCAAAGGAAAGATAATGGATATATTTGTCATGTGGCATTCATTTCTTCATGTGTCTTTAAATAAAAATATTGCTGTCTGTCAGTTTGTATTCAGGGTAGAATCATGAACTTGTTTATTTGACACAGGTTGTCCTGCTACATTTTCTCTTTTCCCTAAAGTGTCATTGTTTCCTCATCAACAGTGAGTGCAGGAACATCTGTGAAACAATGAACTCCTCCTGTAAGGAAACGCCTATAGAGACCATTACCTTCATGGATGATCCTGATCTGCTTGGAGACGCCACCATGCAGGACGCGTTACGATGTAGTAAGTTTTTATTTGGCATCTTTCTACAAAACGAGCATAAAAAAATGAAGTAATCTGACTTTTATGTCTCAGAGCTGCAGCTCCAACCATTCATTTCAACAATATTCACATGGGTTTATCATATTTTGATACTCTTTACAACATTATGAATGATCAATTCTAAGGAAAACTAAGTAGAAACATTGGTTTCTTTTAAACTATCTGATATGAAAGGCCTCTATCAGGTTATTCTTTCTGAATTCAGCCATCCTCATTCCAGGAGGTCGGATGTGTGCATGTGTGATGAAACATCACACATGCAGATGTTTCATAGCATTTAGAACATGCAGAAATTTAACTTAAGGTTCAGCTGCAAAAGGGAAAGTGAACAGCTCTGCAGCCGTTTAATAAGAGAACAACATCCATTACAGTAGTGTGGCATTAGTGCCACAGATGACTAGTGCCAACATACTATCATTACTTCATTGTATACATATGCATTTGAAAAACCCTGAACTTAAATGTGGGCATGTCATGGAGAAGTTCTCACAAACGATGGCAAAAAAAACAAACTGACCTGGCTGTTAAGAGCAGACAAACCAGTGCTTATTTATGTTTCTATTTGCTTATGCTGATGTAGCACATCATGACTGGGTATACTGAGCATGAATCCAAACTTTGTGACTACAACAGTGAAACGTTTACCTGGAAAGACTTTTAGTCACTATTCTGACTAAAGGCCACTGAGAGCCATTTATCCTCAAATTAAAGAGTATCTTCATACCTCACAGAACAGTGTTTAGAGTCTCAGATGGTCAGAGGATACTAAAGTATTCTTGCTTTGGTCCTCCAAATTACATTTGATAGACAGGAGGTCAGCTGTGATTTTATTACATTAACGTTTATGTAAGGTCTCTTTTAATTACATCAGAGACTCAAGAGTCTCTTGTGATTTTCATTGTGAAGATGGTGCGGGTCCATCTAATTCTTCCTCCTTTGCTTCCTGCTCAGTGATGTAGATTTCTTTATTTTTTTCCAGACGAGCAGCTTGATGCCATAAACTTTTACCTATACTAGGTCAGCCATGCCTTAATCACATCTCAACTAATGTCATTTACTGTGGCGGTTAAATCCCATTCTTTGCTGGGTGCGTACATGCTTGAGTCATCACACAATCTCCCCCATAAGACTGAGATGTAGGTCAGGGCATGGCACTGTTGGGCCTGTGGCTCACCCATTAAACTCTCCTCCCAAATGTAAAGTGGCAACACGCAGGCCTGTGGGAGGTGGCTGCGTAGGGAATTTGAAATCGCAGCACAGTTGAACAAAGCTGTTGTTACATATGTCCGTCTCTGTTTCTGATCTGCTAGCATTGTGTGGGAAGCCCATGTTTAAATTTAGCATGGTAGTCTGTAAGGATTATGAGCCAAAGATGAACTGGTATACAGCATTCATGTGTCATTTCATATTGATTCTGGGTCCTCAAGGGATTTCCTACTCCTACTTGTGGCCATTTTTGACAGACTCTAGCTTTACATTTTTTAAGCCTTGCCAAGAACGGCTTGGAATCCAGTTCAGTCTGAACTACTGGATGGTAAAGGGGAGTTTTTGCACACTGATTCAGAACAGTGCTGTCATACCTTTCAGCATGTTTCTGCTCAGGCCTGAGTGAATTTCTTTTGAGAGGACAGTTTAAAGAACCTTTTTAATACAATTCTGCCATTTCAAGAGAAAAAAACATTTCCCACACGACAATTTCTAGTGTTATTCAGTCAGTTAGTTGCTCTGGAAGAGATTGATTCATGTACATCTTTAGGCCTCCAAAGGATGTTGAAGAAGCCACTCCCCATCTACACCTTTCTGTCTCGGTCCTGGTTATCTCTATTTTTCTCTCTTCACAGTATTCAGGGTGACAACGCAATCGTTAGCAGTTGCTGCTGAATGAAGCATATTTCAGTTTCTCATTTAGTGGAATGGTGCCTCCTTTTAGCTGTTTTCAGTAGCCTGCACATTGCTCATGGTGCAAACAATTACTGTGCAGTTTTACTTATGTATATTGAGCTTCAAACGCCTCATTCAGGATGGGCTGACAATGGATGTGTTCTCATAAAGGAGAATTTCAAAATTTCAGACAACTGGTTAACATTGTTTTGACTGAAGTTTCTTAATGTGAGATTGGCTGACATGAACATTTGTCTAAATGATTACAGCATGGTCTCTGTGTTGGGTGCATATTTCACACACCTGATTTATATGCTGACTTAACATTGGTGTGATGTGCCCCTCCTAAAATCAGTGAATGACAAGAACTGTAACTTGGATGCTGGAACACATTAAATGAATTTAATAGTTTGATAAACTTTACTTTGATGAGCATTGTGGCATTTAGGTGTTGTTTTCAGGTTGCTTTTTCATTAAGATATGAGAATGTCTCCTTTTCTTCTTCTCTTATGCTGTTGCTGAATGCTGAAAATCTTAGTTCACCTTGTACACAGTAATTAGTCATGCCTTTTTTTGCACACGGCTCCTGAAGTAAACACAAAAAGGCAAACGCACTGTATTATGTGGGCCTGTGATCTCCAACTCTCAAAGACTGTACAGTCAGTTATTGTTAAATGCAGAGCTCTGAGCCGGGCATACACGGTCACAGAGAACCGCATTTTCTCATCTGGAGTTGCCATGGTAACCATAGACTGTTCACGTCTGGCGTTTGCGTGGTTCA